AGCGGGGGGGGGGATTAAGCCCGAGATTCTTTCTCCGCCCCCCTCGCACGATTATTGGAAAAACGCTCCTGATATTCCGCGGGAGGCAGGGGTCCGTTTCTTCTTGGGGCAGTGCCACTTGGGGGGACTTGGGAGGATCCCCCCCCATCACCTTCAAAATCCCAGAATCTCGCCCATTCTCCCCTTACCTCCCCCAACCTCCTTTTACCACACCGTGCTGCAGCCGAGGTTGAGCAGCAGGCTCTACCTCCCCATATCTCCCCATATCTCCCCATATCTCCCCATATCTCCCCATATCTCCCCGTATCTCCCCATATCTCCCGCACCGTGCTGCAGCCGAGGTTGAGCAGCAGGCTCTCGGCGACGGAGAAGTCGGTCGACTGGATGCAGAAGAAGGCGGCGTACAGCATCGCGATCATGCATACCATCATCACGACCTGCGGCCGCGATCACGAGGCCGTGAGATATGGGGAGATATGGGGGAGATATGGGGAGATATGGGAGACATGGGGAGACATGGGGAGATATGGGGAGATATGGGGAGGTATGGGGAGGTGTGGGGAGGTATGGGGAGGTATGGGGAGGTATGGGGAGATGTGGGGAGATGTGGGGAGATGTGGGGAGATGTGAGGAGATGTGGGGAGATATGGGGAGGTATGGGGAGGTATGGGGAGATGTGGGGAGATGTGGGGAGATGTGGGGAGATGTGAGGAGATGTGGGGAGATATGGGGAGGTGTGGGGAGGTGTGGGGAGAGATCACTTGCGCCGCGATCACGAGGCCGGTGACGAGGTACTTGGCCAGCCGCCGGTGCTGCGGGTAGTACAGCTCGGTCTCGCCTGCGGACACGTCTCGGACGTGTCTCGGACGTGTCTCGGACGTGTCTCGGACGTGTCTCGGACGTGTCTCGGACGTGTCTCGGACGCGTCTCGGACGTGTCCTCGACGTGTGCTCGACGCGGCAGTATCGACGCGGCAATAGAGGAGCCCTCGGGTAATCTCGGGTACTCTCGGGTGCTCTCTCGGGCAATCTCGGGCAATCTCGGGCAATCTCGGGTACTCTCGGGGTGATCTCGCCCGTGACGGGAGAGGCCCTCGGCCAGCCGCGGAAGCCAGGACGCACAACCTCTGCCTGCGGGCGGGTGGGGCGGCGAGTGAGCGGCTCGTAACTAGCCATCTCCCACATATCTCCCCATATCTCGTCGTTAGCCATCCCACACCCCTCCATAGTCCCCATATCTCGTCGTTAGCCATCCCA